CAAAAGCGAAATTCGATAATTACTTATGTTTCAAATGAATATTAATTATGCTTACTTTTTAAAAATATTTTCTAGATACTTAATAATTGAGTTCATGAGTCACTTAAAGCTAGACCACCATAGAAAATTTGGAAGCACTGGACGGCCGTTTCCTTAAAGAACAGAACTCCTAAGCGATGCACATCCACTATCCCGCACGCGAGATTCGAACTTAGGACCTCCGGAATCGCGTAAGATCACTTAATCTCGAGACTACTGAGCTGGAATCCAACGGTACTAATGTCTAACTTCAACCAAGCCACAATATGCTGCAATTTACCATATAAAACGCATTATTTTCACTAGTGAGTCATCTTGTCTTCTGACACTTATTTGCTATAGGTTATCCGTATAGATAATCTGGATTTGTGAAAAATTACCTATATGCCACAACATTCACATTAATCCAAAAGGTCGATCGATAGCGGTCAATTAGAATCACACCACCTTTCTACATAGCAATTATGTGTAACTACTCTTGAATTCATTTCATTTTACGATTCCGTAGATATATTAGCTATGAATTCTTAGAAGACGAAAGAACTTTTCTCTGGAATATCAAGAAATAAATGAAACAGATTATTTATTATAAGGCTATATTTAACAAAAAATAATTGAAAGTACTTTACCGTGGATTTACAAGCAGATTATATAAAATAAATGACTGAGATTATATTCGTAAAGATAAAAGGTACAATCAGTATATCATCTTGTAATCACAAAAACTAGTGAAATTTCACACTACAATCTGTATTGACCGGCATAGAAACCATTCATTTAGAGATGTTAATACTCAATAACAAAGAATCAAATATATTTATTATTCAGAAAGCTACCATTATAAACAGCATTTATGAATGTAGAAATTTATATTTATTAGACAGTTTCATGCTCTGAGTACAAGTAGAAAAGATCAAGATCATATAGGTGTGCGATTCCATTCTCAATGTGGCATATGGTTGACAATCAAATGAAGTCACTTTTCAGAAGATGAATCCTTAAAAATAAACCGTAATAACTGTATGAGGGAGAAAGATGGCTGTTGTATTATAGACTGAGAAACTACAAGAGAGATTATTGATGATCAAAACTTCAGTAAAATATAGCAATTAACAATTCCCATGAAGAACGGAAATGTTCATGTATTCTGTAAACCAGTCTGAATTTACTGCCATAATTAACCATCGGTAAATACAATTACATGTAGTCAAAGCTTTTCAGGATTTGACGAGATACTGTATTCGGGAATAATGCATGTACCATGAACATATCCACAAATTTCTACTTCACCATTATTAAGCAATATCGTTCGTCGTACTAGATGTCTATTCATTATCAAAGAAAAATGATATTCGATCACTGAATAACAGTTTTATTTGAAACTACCTTACACTATTATGAATACTTTAGAAATCTACGCACTAAATACGTAAACCACTGGTAACAGTGATTTGTAATTTGGAAATTCGCATCACTCTGAAATACTATGTCAACATCTATTTTGATTTCCAAATGAATTAAAAGACTAATTTAATTTAGAAAAGCATGAATAACTTTATTTGTTGTTTAATTTTTTGATTACATTGTGTTGACAAGCTGTCGAAACTGTACTCCTACTCGTTGATCCTTTGATCCACATCCATATAAGTGTGTTTGGTTATTTAGATCCTGAACATTTGTCGCCACATTTACAATTGCCAGAGGTGCAGTCACAGGTCGATCCGCAACCACATTTTCCTTCACAGCAGTCTTCAATGAATAAAATATTCAACCGATCATTTAGTGCAAGAATTTCGATAAAAGGAATTACAAAACTTCATGAAACATCAATGTTATAGCTATTTCGAAACAGTCTTATCCATCAGTCAGCATGGAACATAGTCGAACGCTCCAGTAAATAAGTTGAAGCATCGCTTTCTCTACTCAATATTGAACCTCAAATAAATAACTAATGTTAAACGCTCTAATTACACATATATAGTGTGTTGAGTTGGTTGTAATCATAATAATATTGGTAATAACAACGATAGGCTTTTTATAGATTGATATGGAAATTGCTGATCAATAGGTGAGTGAACACAATGAGAATATTGATATTCAGTGCTTCATTCTCATCTGGCAACTATCCACATTTCCTCCGATCCACTACTAGTGCTCTAGATGGTATGAGATTTTCATGAAAATCATCATAAGTGGCAGGAACTAATTAAGAGCATTTCCATATGCGAAGCTCCATCATCTACTATACACTGCATTTGGAATACAGAGAAGAGTACAAATTATCTACAATTGCTAACATTGTCATTGCTAACAAGTTCAAATCCTGAAGGAAATCTAGGATTAGCAGTCTCATTCTCATAGTCATCATCATTAAACATATTACAATATACAATATTGTGTTTACTTACCAGACATTGTATTAGCTCAAATGTATAAATTGTACAACATTTATGACACGTTTATTTTCATTTATATACAATTCATTCAGAGTTTCACATAAAACCAGTGCATTTTCACATTTTTGGAATTTATGTTTTAGTCAATCAATATTTGTTTGGTAAATAATGCACTTTGGTATAGTTATGACTCCATGGCGAACAGAGAAAAATTGATTAACTCTATTATACTCTCACCAGTGTGTACCCACAATATGATCAGTCAGACATTTCACATACAATCGAAAGTTTATTTTTTCGTCGATTATTCACAAACTATACGAGTATACCATGTTCACCTAACAAATATTGATTGACTAAAACATAAATTCCAAAAATGTGAAAATGCACTGGTTTTATGTGAAACTCTGAATGAATTGTATATAAATGAAAATAAACGTGTCATAAATGTTGTACAATTTATACATTTGAGCTAATACAATGTCTGGTAAGTAAACACAATATTGTATATTGTAATATGTTTAATGATGATGACTATGAGAATGAGACTGCTAATCCTAGATTTCCTTCAGGATTTGAACTTGTTAGCAATGACAATGTTAGCAATTGTAGATAATTTGTACTCTTCTCTGTATTCCAAATGCAGTGTATAGTAGATGATGGAGCTTCGCATATGGAAATGCTCTTAATTAGTTCCTGCCACTTATGATGATTTTCATGAAAATCTCATACCATCTAGAGCACTAGTAGTGGATCGGAGGAAATGTGGATAGTTGCCAGATGAGAATGAAGCACTGAATATCAATATTCTCATTGTGTTCACTCACCTATTGATCAGCAATTTCCATATCAATCTATAAAAAGCCTATCGTTGTTATTACCAATATTATTATGATTACAACCAACTCAACACACTATATATGTGTAATTAGAGCGTTTAACATTAGTTATTTATTTGAGGTTCAATATTGAGTAGAGAAAGCGATGCTTCAACTTATTTACTGGAGCGTTCGACTATGTTCCATGCTGACTGATGGATAAGACTGTTTCGAAATAGCTATAACATTGATGTTTCATGAAGTTTTGTAATTCCTTTTATCGAAATTCTTGCACTAAATGATCGGTTGAATATTTTATTCATTGAAGACTGCTGTGAAGGAAAATGTGGTTGCGGATCGACCTGTGACTGCACCTCTGGCAATTGTAAATGTGGCGACAAATGTTCAGGATCTAAATAACCAAACACACTTATATGGATGTGGATCAAAGGATCAACGAGTAGGAGTACAGTTTCGACAGCTTGTCAACACAATGTAATCAAAAAATTAAACAACAAATAAAGTTATTCATGCTTTTCTAAATTAAATTAGTCTTTTAATTCATTTGGAAATCAAAATAGATGTTGACATAGTATTTCAGAGTGATGCGAATTTCCAAATTACAAATCACTGTTACCAGTGGTTTACGTATTTAGTGCGTAGATTTCTAAAGTATTCATAATAGTGTAAGGTAGTTTCAAATAAAACTGTTATTCAGTGATCGAATATCATTTTTCTTTGATAATGAATAGACATCTAGTACGACGAACGATATTGCTTAATAATGGTGAAGTAGAAATTTGTGGATATGTTCATGGTACATGCATTATTCCCGAATACAGTATCTCGTCAAATCCTGAAAAGCTTTGACTACATGTAATTGTATTTACCGATGGTTAATTATGGCAGTAAATTCAGACTGGTTTACAGAATACATGAACATTTCCGTTCTTCATGGGAATTGTTAATTGCTATATTTTACTGAAGTTTTGATCATCAATAATCTCTCTTGTAGTTTCTCAGTCTATAATACAACAGCCATCTTTCTCCCTCATACAGTTATTACGGTTTATTTTTAAGGATTCATCTTCTGAAAAGTGACTTCATTTGATTGTCAACCATATGCCACATTGAGAATGGAATCGCACACCTATATGATCTTGATCTTTTCTACTTGTACTCAGAGCATGAAACTGTCTAATAAATATAAATTTCTACATTCATAAATGCTGTTTATAATGGTAGCTTTCTGAATAATAAATATATTTGATTCTTTGTTATTGAGTATTAACATCTCTAAATGAATGGTTTCTATGCCGGTCAATACAGATTGTAGTGTGAAATTTCACTAGTTTTTGTGATTACAAGATGATATACTGATTATACCTTTTATGATAGGCAATATGTTAGTCTCATAGTTTATAGGAATCTGATTTAGTTAACAGTTGTTTGTCAATTTTCAATTGACCATATGGTCGTTTAATACCTTTTTATTCTCCATATATATAACCGTTGACAACTAATTCAATCGGGTTCTTTTACCTGATCATGATTGTTGTTTCGATGACAAGTGTGGTGTTTTCTTTTGTGCAAATCGTTCAACAACTGCAGGTATGTATCTTTCATCAGTGAATGCTTAGATGCATCTTATTTCTACTTTGATGTAATATATATTACCAGCTGAATAGTTATTATTATTTATTGAATAACTACTAAAAGTTTATTATTTTTTTTCAAAATACAAATCTTGAATGAATCAACATTTTATTTCATTATAATAAATACACAACATCTTCAATTGAATTTATGCAGAAAATCCACTCATATATTTCGTTATTTTTCATAAAAAAAAGAACTAATGAACAATTTCTGATTTGATTTTCATTTATTATTTATTTCTGTTTGTGCTTATCGACCATATGGTCGAGTGAATCGTCTACGATGGACGTAAAACACCTTGTTCTTATCTAAATTTTCTAGATCATTTGGATACCATTTTTGTTTAGTTCCTTGAATATTCAAACATTGGACGCAGAAACAATGAATATTCATTGAACATGTAAATGAAAAGAAAAGATGTGAAAATATTTAACAAAAAATAACAACAGGGGTGTTTTATTTCATGACATTTATATATATGCATAGTGGCTTATTTTGGACATATAAGTTACACAAAAAGACTTAATAATCCAGTAGATTTGGGCACGTTACAGATTAAATCAGCTATAGAAGTAAATGCTATTTTCATTAATCACCAAATTGATGTTAGAAGCATCAAAATAATCCAAAAAGGTTTTTCCAAAGAGGCGAGTAGTAGGAGCGTTTCATATAATGCTAAATCCCTATGCCCTCATTAGAAAAGGTCTAAAGATTCATTCAACCTGGACTGTTTATTCAAACAACATCTGACTATTTATTTTCCACATAAGCTACACACACACACGTACATAATTTCAACCCCGCTACTTCATATTATAACTATATACATTTTTCATACCCACATTCTAACTTACAAATTAATAGTGACAGGTCATACAAATTCACGTTAACTAAGGATAACTTGACACTGACATATTCAAACCTATTGTGATTTTGATTGTACTAAAAATATTCTGTATTGTTTCCTTCTTACTATTTAAACTTGTGTTAAGTTAGTTCGGTTATTTATTTGCTCTGTAGAAGTGGCTTACATTAATTTACGAAACGTAAGAACTACAATTTTCTAATTATTAGGATATAACAAGAAATATATTTATTATTAGCTTTTTCTTCAATGCTCAATTTATTTAAAACTATCAAGTTCAACCTTGATATTAATATCTATAAAGATAATATTTAGGGGATTGCTATTAAGTTAACAGATTACATTTTCAGTAAGTTAGTTGAACACATATGGTCAAAAGACAAATAGAAACAATAGATAACTAAAAGCAAATAGATGTATATTGATAATAAACATGTAAGAATGAATTGATTATAACTGTAGTTGGTTTGATAGTGAAGCTAGCGAAATCAATTGGATTGAGTTACTGCGAACATGGAGACTCGGTTTCAACATTTCTATGAATTAGATATAATGAAACGAATATGAAGAACTCATATAAACGATCAATGTAGCTTTTAATTTGATTTCAATCAGACTTTCATCTACAATAATATTTATGTGCAAAAGCCCAGCAATGCAATTTGTGAATCAGTGAGGACTATGAAGATGGACTGCGTAACTAATCATAATAAATAAATAATACATAGCGATATTAAAGTAAAAGATAATAATAAGTAGCCTGACAATGTATCTAAATATACTGAAATAGGAAGTAGGTCAATGCATGAAGAACAAACTAAAATAATAGGTCTTAAAAATTAAGTAGTGAGAAATATGTGTATAATCAGTCAAAGAATGCAAAGATACAAACGGATGGTAGAAAGAATTAGTAATATCTTCGGTTATGTTTCCTCGCGTCAAGGAATAGACTTTTTTTAAATAGAAGGACTAGGTGAGTTAGCTCGAATCCCCATAACTTTCGCCTTACGCAAGAGACCTGAAAATTTGAAGGCATTCGATAACTTATTATAAATGTTGTAGTTTTATCTACTACATGACCCCCATCGATCAATTTCTACAAAGTTGAGATGTTGAATAAATTCATTCCAAAAAATTAAAATCACAATTTTGTCTAAAGACAAAATGGCCAAACTATACTATCGTTAAACCTATGGAACATAAAGAGTTCGAATCGAAAGTCAGCGAAATTGTTTAATAACCTTTTTTTAAAATTAATATAAGTGAACAATCTGCACCATATTCATGATTTCTATCAGTACCTACAGCAAAAGATTTGGAAATGATTTATTTATTCGAACGTAAAAAATTACTACATTTCAAAATCGAACTGAAACTTACCAAACGCAGAGTGTTTTGCTTTACTATCCAGAATATCTATCATATGATCATCCGACATGTAAGGATATGTAAGATAGAGCCCATTTTCTGACTGATAAATATCATCATCCATATGTCCAGCAGATAATACAAACAGATATAAAACTATGAATAAAATGTAATAAATTTTCATTCTTCTAGTTTTATTTCCTTTATTGAATTATTGTTTTCCAAAGGTTTATTGTCTTTTGAAAAAAAAAGAGAAAATAGGAAATTTGATTATTATAAATTTTAGAATTGTGGAGTATCGGATACTGCCTGCCTCATGCCCACGTAAAGGGAGAGGATTGAGCTTAGGACTAACACTTCCATCTCATAACAAGGAATCACGCAACGACAAAAAAACGCTAACTAGCGATAAATAGTTTAACTTATTGAACTTCACCCTGAAAGTCGAGAGATATTCATTTAGGAAAGTTATGATGCCTGATGGCGAAAGCTGGGAATTACCGAAAGACGCGGGTCTGACACCCTTCCTGAAAATCAGAACAATAACGAGTAAATGTAAACGGAACCTTCAGACATTATAGGGAACCATGAGGGTCATTCAGACAGTCGTAAGGATGAGAAGATACAACCTCTTTGCGTTTGTATAACGTAAAACTCATTGAATACAATCCAGACAGAAAAGAATAACTTCAGGAGAGCTGCTATTGTATCATGGTAAAGAAGAAGTGCAAGGAGTTGCACTGATGATCCCCAAAAGGAACGTTAAAAGCGCCTAAAAAGTGGATAACTCATGGTTTCAAGGTTATCAGGACATCACTCAAAGCAAAGGAAAAGAGTACACTGGATGTCATCCAGTGCAACTCACTCACCAGTGGTAGCAGTAAGTCGATAAAGAAAAGTTTTATGAAAGGCTGCAACCCATTGCATAGAGCAGTCTAGGAAAAGGCCTGACTATTCTGATGGGGTAGTTGAACGCCCTTGTCAGTATGAACAACAGTTTGTTCTAACGCAGTGTGTGACAAAATGGGCTGGGAGAAATGAAGGAAAATAGTGAGAGGATGATAGATCCATGTGCTTTCAAAAAGCATGGTTACAAGCTTTGAGATGGTGGCGAAGATTTGTAGCTCAAGTGGATGATTTTGATGGAGTTTTGTTCTCTGAGCTGGATGTTTCGGTCGAGGAGCTTCTATCTGAAGTTTTTCCTGAGGATGTCGTTCGGAAGAACGATGAAAGCTTTACGACCAAACCATCCAGCTCAGTGAACAAAACTCCATCAAAATAGTTATAAGCAGCACCATTTCCACTCGCAAACGCATGGACTAAACTATACGGGTTTCATTAGAGAATAAGATTGACCACAAATGTATGAATAAAATATTCAGAAAATCTATGGAAGATGTAAGAACAAAGGGAGGAACTGATACAGCCCCATAGTTACCCCGGACAAAATTCAAGAAGGGAAAGTCAAGAAGATAATAATCATCAACAACAGACGAACATGAAAAAAGAAAGTCTGGGAACTGGGTGACTGAAAAAGGAATTTGGAGCCAACAGATGAAAATATGTGGAAGACCCGGGAACAACAATAAGAGAAAAAGCTGCAAGGGAAAGAAATATGACAGGAATATATTTTACAACTAAGAAGCTATCAGGGAAATATTGTAAATAAGAGCGACCAGTTAGGAAAAAAAAGGAGGTCTAATTATTGTGTGTCAAGAATGACGGAAATGATATGTTGAAGATTTTAAAGAGTTCTTGAATTGACCAACCCCAGTGAACCTACGGGATACTAAAGTGACGCACGTAAACCTTCCTCCACCAACAATAGAAAAAATTAGTAGGGCAATCGGACAAACAACAGCCTTCCAGCAGAAACATTAAGGTTAGATATAGAGGTAACAGTGAAGATGTTTTAAATTATCTCCAGAAAGATTTGGGAGTAAGATTAAGTACCAACGCACCTGAAAGTGAGATGTATTATCAAGATAACTGAGAAAAGCAGATCTCAGTAAGATTAAGAATTTCAGAGGATAAGAGTGAACTACTTGGAATTCTTAGATGGCTAAGCTCTTATATCTCATACACAGAAGCAAACTCAGCTGAAAACAGCCAGTGTAGCTGCAGTGTCTGTAGAAGTAAGTATCAACATTCGTACGGGAAATAGCAGGGTCATGAAGTGTAAAAGAATGACCATCGGCCAACTCACAAGACACTGAAGCTCTGAAAGACGTGAAAGCCTTCATATATCTGGACAGTATCATTGATAAACAAGGAGAGTGTGGTGGAGATGCAAACCAAAGGCAGGATCCCTACAACTGAAGAGTATCTAGAACCCAAAACAACCGTCAACAAACAACACAGTGAGAATTTTCGATACCGACGTTCAGTTATTTTTATTGTACAGAGCAGGAACTAGGATAACTAATACAACCATCGTCAAAAACGTGTAGGTATCTATAAACAATTGTCTACTCAAGATACTCCAGATCCATTGATTAAACATCTTTTATAATGATCAACTGTGGTGGAGAACTAACAATCTTTCACTTGATTAAGAAATTAGAAAACCAGTAAAGTGCGTTGCAAAGCAAGTCTTAACTTGGAATTCTTAAGGCAAAGGGAAAAGTCATGTCAAGTAACACATGGCTCCGAGAACTGAAGGCATCCATCCAGAGCATAAACAGCATCTGGTAACAGTGAAAAAGGAGAGTTGTAGGAAAAGTAGGTTGGAAATCCATGGTCGGCCGCCTATATCTTAAGAAGAGTAACAAGCTTTTGTAAAATTAATGTATAAAATCTTCTGAAATTATGTTTTTTCAGTCAAACATAAACATACCGAAAATCAGTTTAATCGAATTATAATATTCCTAATGATCTTATTAAATGTAATCATAGTTATGTTTGGTGGCTTGATGAATTTCTTTTTATGCAGAAAATATAAGGTTTATGCACTGACACTTTATTTCGCTTTCTGCTAAATAGAGAAATATTTCACTGTTAACTTTAAGTGCTTATTGGCAATTGTTATTATTCCTATATGAAATGAAACTTTTCGTTTTACTCTTCAAATCCACTATAATTAAGACATTTTGATGATATAAAACTCTATGATACATTAAAGTTAATTTCTTAACGGTAAGAAAATTGTGTAGATGATGAAAGGAAAAATGTATTTTTATTATTAATCTGTGTTAACTATTGTAATCTTTGTTTTTATGCTGCAGAACTACTTCCATTCAATTCGTTGTTCCTCTATAAATAAATATCTCAACATTATAATGAATATTTTGTTTGTTTGTTTGTATCTTCCCATTGGTGTTTAGGACTGTAACTGATCAGTCTCTTATTGACATATGTGCATCCTGTGCGGATTGCCTCAATATTGCATTGAGTCACAGGTATCATAAGTAGAGATTGATGGTGGCTAGCAGTGGAATCCAAGACGGGATGGCGTTTGAAGCGAACGGTACTGGGGTTGAGTTCCGAAATAAACATCAACTCTGTAATGCAGGTACATCTAGCTGACGATTATCAAATAGGACGAAACGGGCGTCCTGGAATCCACTGTTAGCCACCAACCACTTTTTTTATAACGAATGCTATATTTTTCGATTTTAATACTAAATAGAAGTTTATTTTATCAAAAATTGATTTGGGTTTTGAAGTTTACAAATGGATATATCTGATACATTCAATAGTGACCACAGTTTAAATGAACCTAAAATAAGCTAGAAATAATTTCTTCTTATTGCCAATTAGTAATTAACTGATCGTTTATTAGCTATGACTGTAAAACGTAATGAAATTATGGGTTGAACTATATCAGTTCACTAAAGATTCCTAGTATCCTTTTGTTGGGATATTCAGGAAAATATCCCAAAAATAATTCTGTTAAGTCTAACGCTATCCTTGGACTTGAGATGGTGTCATTTTCTTATTGGTCAATATTGTACAATGTTATTTCTATTTTATGGTACGATGTGGTTTGTTTGGTTGGTATATAAACAGAGCATGTTTGAAATATAACGATTCATATCTCCGAGGCTGAGACTTGTGTTCTGGAATCAACTGGCTGGGCTAGACAGGGAAGCGGGACCAGTCAGAACCCTAGGCCGTTCTTACGTGTTTGCGCGTCTTCGGTTCGATCGATAATTCGCTACCCTCTAGTCTGCCGTTCAGTTATAGCACCTTTACTAATAAATACTGATTGGCAAGAAATCTATACTCAAAGTAACATTCCAATTGTTTCTAATCTCTTAACTTCAGAGAATTGGAATTATTTATTTTAGTAAAAAAAACGTACTTGTTAATAATTATGTTATTCTGTAACTAAACGCATAATTTTATAGAAACATAATTTCTCATAATTAATATTTAATTAACTCCTTGTTTTCAGTGTTATTATAAAGTTTTTATTCTCACACCTAAAAAAGGTACCGTTTACATAGTTTTTTTCTTTAACAATTTAAAGTAATGGATAAACTAACCTATTCCTTTGTATTCTTTAAACTCTAACCAAAAAAGCAATATCTAGAACTAGTATATATATATGTATATATATATATATATATATATATATATATAGAGAGAGAGAGAGAGAGAGAGAGAGAGAGAGAATGTACAGCAGTCACCACAGCAACTAATAAATTTCATTAGTTATAAGTAGTTTCTCTGTAATGTATACAATATTGGTTGGTACTATGAGAAACATTTGAAAAAACCTATCATAATAATTGGGCATTTAGAAAAAAGGGTGATTACTTATATTTATGAATATTTACAGGATTTTTCTCTAATATTTAACAGTATTGAGTAAGAATTAAAATATTTGATAGGAGAGTAAGAAGATGATTAAAAAATTGAAGATGTTATCGGTTTTTTAACATTTTTACAAATGAAGTTTTTCATTATTTTTACCATAGAGGTTTATTATTATTATTATTATTATTCTCTGAGCTCAGAGAACAAAACTCCACCAAAATCATCCACCTGAGCTACAAATCTTTTCCACCATCAGTAAAAAGGTAGGTATTGTTTGAAACGCAAACCGTGTATTTGAACATCAACTATTGAGACTCTAACTCCAAATTGTGCTGATTTTAAGCGGTAAGTAACAACTTCATTTTAAACATAGGATATACATTATAATTGTGTAAAGACGAAGTGCAATAATTTTTTATAAAAAACGAATATCAGTATTGACTAGCCACTCTCCAAATGAATAACGTTGGTTACA